AGGGAGAGGGAGAGCAGGAAAAGGGAGGATGAGGATGAGAAATTTGTATACGATTCTCGATGTGTGCGTGTCATCCTTGCGCAGGGGCCGTGCTAATCTCCTCTGCATCGCTCCAACATCGGGCGGAGGAGGATGAGAAGGAAGGATCATGCGATGAGGCGGGAGGGGGAGAGGAGAAGGAGGGATGAGAAGGAGGGAAAGGGAGGAGGCGGACGGGGAGGAGGAGAAGCGGCCTCTCGTCCATCTCCCGCATGCCCGAGCGCAGCGTGCCCACGAGGCCCCCGAAGGCGACCAGCCCGCGACCGCGGAGAGACTCGGCGGCGGCCGTGACGGGCACCTCGCGCCTCCCTCCTCCTGCTCCTGATCCTTGCTGCTGCTCCTCCTCCTCCTCCTCCTCCTCCTCCTCCTCCTCCTCCTCCACGTCCTCCTCTGCATGTTTCTCCTCCCTCTCCCTCTTCTCCTGCTCCTCCGCCGTCTCCTCCCCTGCCCTCCCCTCCTCATTCGTCTCCCTCTTTCTGCTCGCTGCTCCTTGCGCAAGCTTTCCCGCTGCCGCTGGACTGTTCGGGGCCATCTCCCTCTGCGCCTCTTCCTCCGTCCTCCGTCCTGCTGGCTCCTGCTCCTCCTTGTCCTCCCTCCTCCTTCTCCTCTCTTCTCCTTTTCTTCCGTATCCTTCATCTCCTGTTCCTCATCCTTCTCGTCCTCCTCCTCCTCCTTTTCCTCCTTCTTCCTCTCCCGCCTCCGTCATCTTCCTCCTTCCTGAAAAAAAGAATATCTCTATCCTCCCCACCCACCCCCTCATCTTCCAGGGGACTGAGAAACGATCTCTGGACGGCAGAGAATGGCGAGAACATCCTGGCGCTGCTTTGCTTCGTGCTACCTGAGAAATCTGCAAGAGGAAGACGCCAAGTGGCGGCCCCGACGGGCACCTGCATCCACCTGACGATCGGGAGCACTCCTCGCCTCAGCAGCAACTCGCCAGCCACCAGGAAGAGGCAGAACGCGAGCGGGGTAAACATCCTCGCGCGCAGGGGTGAAGTAGGCAGAGAGGAGGAGAGAGAGTGAGATGAGAGGGAGGAAGACTTCGACATGTGTGTGCCGCCCTCTACGGGCCACTAGGTGAACATGTTCCCGCGCTGGTGGCAAAGGGAAGACGAGGAAGATATGAAGGAAGTTGAGGCGGAACATGAAGAAGTTGTCGATGAGAGAGCCTAGCAGGAGGAGGGCAATAACGCTGATGATGGTCGTGCTGATCGTTATGTGAGACGGAAGGTCAATGGGGACCACCACAATGATCATAAGGAGGACGAGGAGGAAGAGAACCATCCTCACGAGAACGCCGATGTAAGGTATAGTGGCTGCAAGCTCCCACAGCATGGCGAGCACCCAGAACGAGAGTCTCCTCGCGCTCATATCGGGATCCCCCTCAGGCTTCTTCATCCTCCTCCACCTCCTCCTGTGCCTCCTCCTCCTCCTTATCTCGCATCCCTCCTCCCTCTGCCTCCTTTCTTGCTCACTTATCCCTTTCCCCCTCTCCCTTCCCTTCCTGACGAATGACTCCTCCGGATCGCACTCCAAGGCTGGTCGGAAGGGCGGTCCATGCGTTTCGCCCTGGACCTCCTTACCACGTGTGAGCCTGATGCTCAGAAACGTGCCATCGTTTCGCCAATGGAAGGCGGGCTATTCTCCAGCAGGAATGGCCCTCGCCCCAGCGCCGCGCACGCTCGTCCGAATACTCTGCAGGTGCCTCACGCACCGAGGGAGAGCCGCTTCTCCAGGTGTGGCTGTCGCCCGGACGCCGCGCACACACGTCTCAAAACATCAGCAGGGGCCTCGCGGATGGAGGGCGGGAGGCGCTCGGAATGCGGATCTCGCATTCGCGCCAGGCACGCTCATCCTGCACATTTGCAGAGAGCTTCGCGGGTTGAGCGCAGGTCGTGTTCAACCCATGGCTCTCGACGCAGCGCCGCGCACATTCGTTTCAAAACTTCTGCAGGCTTCACGGATTGAGGGCGGGCCTTTGCCGACATGTGGATCTCTCCCCAGCGCCAAGCACATTTGTTTTCAAGATCTGCAAGGGTTTCACGGGTTGAGGGCGGCTCCCTTTCAAAATGTGGCCCTGGCCTTAGCGCCGTGCACATTCGTTTCAAAGACTTGCAAGGGTTTCGCGGAGTCGCAGTGGCTTCCAGAAATGATGTGTTCGAACGGCTCAGGATTGTCAGAGCGCAACAATTACGTTGATTCGCGGTGTTGAAGTCACGGGAACGGCTTTCTGGCACGATTCAGGATCGTTCAGACGCGACAGTCAGGTCGACTCGTGGCGTCGAAGTCCAAAGACCGCTGTTTTGGCACGCTTAAAGATCTTCGCACGGTTGTCTCCCAACGGGGCACGTCCCTCCGTGGAAGTGACACCCTGTATGAGGCCTATGAAGAGGAAGCTTGGAGGGCGGGTGTATCCCAATTTTGTTGATGAGTTGTTGGTTTACACTGGTCCCTGCTCCTCTTCTTGCTCCTCCTGAGTCCTCCTCCTCGTCCTCCTCCTCCTTCCATCCTCCTCCCATCATCATCATCTTCATTCTTACTCATCCATCCTCCTCGTCACCTTCGCCTCCTCCGTCCTCCCACTCCTCCTCCTCCTCCTCCTCCGTCTCCTCCTCCTCCTCCGCCTCCTCCTCATCCGCCGTCCTCCTCCTGCTGCTTGTCCCCACCGCACCCCATCATCAACTTCCTCCTGCTGCTCGGCCGCTCCTCCTCCATCCTGCTCATCCGTATCGCCTCTGACTCCTCCCTCCTCCGTCCTCCACATCGTCATCCCATGTTTGGCTCAAACGCGCAAGCGCCACCCTTCGGAGGCGACGGCATGGCGGGGCATGTAGGGGCTTCCTTGCTTCCTTGGCCGCTGCTGACCTCGCGCCCCTGGTGGCGGCGGCGGTCCGCGCGGCTGTGGATGGCGGTGCACCGCGGCGCACCATGGCAGCTGTGGCGCGCTCTGCAGTGTCCACGGCGGCCTTCGCAGCCGCGGCGACGCTGAAGGAGCCGCCTGCTGCCGACGGCGGCGCGGTGCCGCACGGACCTGTGGCTGCACGCCGAGGGCGCCGCCAGCGCCTTGCTGGGCGGCGTGCTCTGGAGAAGGGGAGGGGCGGCGGCGGCGACGGACGGGGCGTCGATCGAGGCTGGCGCGCCCTTGGCGCTCGTCGGCCCCGGGGCTGCGCCCATGCACGTCAGCGACGATGACGCCCTCAACGACTCCTGCAGCTCCTCCGCCGCGGTCGCGGAGGGAGCGTCAGAAAGCGGCTGATGGAGCGGCTGGAGCTGGCCCCGATCCGCCTGCCGCGGAGGTTGCGCCGGCGGGGGCGGCGGCTAACCGCGGCGCCCTTCGCGGACCTGGAGGATGATGGCCTCCTCCTCTCGCTGCGCATCGCGCTCGGCCTGGCGATGCCACATCCACGTGGGAGCCGCACGGACGACGAGCTCCGCCGCGAGCTGGCCGGTGCTTTGGCTGGCGCTCGGGGCTCGGGCTGGTGAGCTCGCGAAGCTCGTCGGCCTCTCGCTGTTCACCCTGCGTTCTGTGGTCACCTAAGGCCTCGGGCACGCCGCCCATTAATGGGGTTGTTGCCGAACCACCGTCACCTTGTGCCCCTCGGGGGTGGCTAATCCAAACTCAGCCTGTCGTCGTGTCGTTTGTTTATGCGGACGATGCTTCAGGCGGGTTTCCTCTCCACTCCACATCATCATCATCATCATCATCATCATCATCATCATCATCATCATCATCATCATCATCATCATCATCATCATCATCCCTTCTTGGCCTCTGTCCTCTTCCTGCTCCTCCGTGTAAATTTTCCACTTCCTCCCTTTTTTACTGTTCCCCTTCCCTCCCTCCTCCTTATACATCGCCCTGTCCTCGTCGCACGCCATGCGTGCTGGTAGGGCTGGCCGCACGCTTCGCAAGAGAAGCACGGAATCTCAAACAATTGCATGGGCGGAAGGCGGAGGGGTTTCACGTTGTGACTCCCGCCTCAGACTTGCCAAGCGTTTGCTTTAACAATCTGGCGCAGCGCTTGTTTCCCTTATGCCCCTACCTGCTGCAGCCATGCCGCTTGATCTGCTTTCAACATCACGGCGCTTTGCAATGGCAGACCATCCAGAGGTTCACTTGTGTCCGATGCACATCACGTAGGAGTCCTGTCATAGAAGTGCATGGCCCCCTCATTTTCAAGCGGTTGCTCGGCCTGGTGAACACACGTAAGTGAATTCATAAACCTATTCGGTGGTTATTCTATCGCTGGAGTGCGCCTTGCAACATAACTGTACTGCGCGTGTTCGGGTTTACTCTGGTCATCAACCATCCTGTCCCATCCCTCCTCCACACTCATCCTCCCTCTTCTTGTTTCGTCTCTGGGTGTCTCTGCGTTCTCTCCTGTAAGGAGTCATAGGGTGCGGCACACAGTAAACCTACCGAAACGCAGACGAGGCGGTGCAGGACGTGCAAAAAAACACCGAACAATTGAGGACCCCAGAGGGCACCGAGTATTCGATCTGCAAGAATCGGCAAAGAAGTCCAATCCCGATCGCCTCCCAAATCCGATCCCGCCCGTGACAATGGCCATCACCGAGGGCAGCGTTCAGCTCTAACCCTCACCGAGGTCAGCTGGAAGCCAACTTCTAAGCATGCCCCCACCGAGGGAGTAAATAACCATACTGAGAGCGATGTGCCACCCTCCACCACCGCCATCTCACCAATAGCTTGGAGGCCTGCACCCTCTAGAACTCAAGGCGCATTCGCAGGGAACCTAACAAAAGATTACTACTACTGGCGGCCCAACAAGCACGGCATGATAGCCGTAGGTTGTCCCACTGGTGTGCCAAGTGTGGTGTGCAGCTCGTCACCCCCAACAGCTCTCCACGCACACATCCTCTCTCTCGTCCTCCTCCTCATCCTCCTCCTCCGCCTCCTCTCTTCCTCCTCCCCATTCTTTTTTGGGATGCCCTCACCGAGGGTCATCGTTTAGAACTTCGACCGGGGTGATGCGAACGCGGGTCATCGCTTGAACGTGCCCTCTGGGTGATGCATGTGCCGTCGACTCCTTGGATGCCCTCATCGAAAATCACAGCTTGAAACTGCAACCGCGTGGCGGGTCGCCTCCTGTTTTCATCACTCTTCAACCGTCTCCTCCTCCTCCTCCCCCTTGGATGCCCTCACCGATGATCATCGCTTGAAAATGCGGAATGAATGATGCGAGCGAGGGTAATCGCTTGGAAGTGCCGCCTTGGTGATACATGTGGCATCGATGTCTCCCTCTCCTGCCATTCAGCTAACCTCAGCCATCCCCTCCTCTTCATTGGCTTTGACGTACGCCTGAACATGCGAACTGGCAAACAATTACTGCTAAGCCGGACGAGTGGCTACCTGGCGATCAAGAATTGCCCTGTGAGTCTGGATAGTCATTCGCCCTGGCCTTGACCCACACATGCTGCAAGGCAAATGATGGCACTGCGTATCTGGGCAAATGGCTGTGCGTAGCCTGACGGATAGCATTGTGCACCTGGCAAATGTCACTGCTTAGCCGTAGAGGTAGCCACGCTTACTCATTCTCCCAACCGTCTCCACCGACTGCCTCCTCTTCCTCCTCCTCATCCGTTGATGCTTCCTCCCCCTCCTCGGATGCCCTGCACCAGGGGTCATCGTTTGAAAATGCGGTTTGGGTGATGCGTGCGCGTGACATCGCGGGTCATCGTTTGCAGCGGCGGCCTCGCTGATGCATGCGGCATGGATGCCCCCACCGAGGGTCATCGCTTGAAACTGCGGCTTGCCTCCTACTTGTCCCACCGACCACGCCCTACACTCTTCCCGCGCCAAGAGAGGAAGAAAAAGAAGGTGAGGCATGGATGCCCCCACCGAGGGTCATCGCTTGAAACTGCGGCTTGCCTCCTACTTGTCCCACCGACCACGCCCTACACTCTTCCCGCGCCAAGAGAGGAAGAACAAGAAGGTGAAGAAGGAAGGGGCCGAGTGGGGCGGAGAATGGATAGGTTCAAGAACCGCAGAGAAACATTGAGGTAGCACGGCCACTGCTGCTCTTATTCGGCTGGTCTGCGGGCCTACGGAAAAGACTTTATATAGCCTCCGCCCAAACACTGGTCAACAAAACCCCCCTACCCATGAAGGGCCTGGTCGAGGGCCAGTGCTGCGCGCGTTAAACTGAACTTGTTGAAAACTCAGAGCCTCGGGGGCGGCCCTCGTCCAGGGCTGCCAGTCCGAAGGCGATCATTCTCCCGCATTTCTACCCCCGCCCCATCTCCAGCCCATCCCCTTCCCGTTTCCTCTCAGAGCCCTCGACGAGGGTCGTAGATTGAAAATGCCCTCAAGAGTCAGGATTCAGGTGGGCCGTAGCTACCAAGTTTCAGCCACAACTGCGTTCGCACTGCTCTCACCAAACCATTGTGGACCAACCCATCCGATCAAGCTGCCGTAGTTATGATCGGACAGCCCCTCACTCTTGCACCTATCGCAATGCAACTGCTCCGAGGTGCAGACGTGCGTGCCGCGCGCATGCACGAAGTTCGAGAGGGCTGGAGGTGGTGGAACTGGGAACAGTTCAGGAAGATGCAGCGCAGGGACGCCGTGAGGATGGCTGCTACGAGGTACGATGAGGCTCGGGTGAAGCTGGCCAGGGAGGCGGCGACTGCGTCCACGCGGCCCCTGCACCTGATGTGCGGAGCGCTTCCCTCGCCCACTGCGGCGGCGCAGGCAGGAGCACCGGGCCGCTGCAGGTGCATGTGGCCGAGGTGTGTGGGGAGGCGGTGCCAGACCAAGAACATATCATGTGGGCCACGCAGGAGGAGGCCGGAGGAGGCGCCCGCGCGGCCCCCAGAGGTGCTCCGGCAGAGGTGGGGCTGGCCCAGGGGTCAGGACCGCCAGGAGGACGCCAGGATCCTGCGCTGCGTGGAGGAGGTGGTGCAGAAGGTCTGGGACGACAGGTACCCGCAGAACGAGCCCAGGCGCGCGGCGCAGGAGAGGCTGAGGAGGGAGACAGGAAAGGAGGGGGCACAGGAGGAGGGAGGGGAGGAGGTGCAGAGAGGTGGCGGCATCGGAAGACGAGGAGACGGGCTGCTGGAGGAGGGAGCGCCCAACCGAGCCGCCGAGGAGCCCTGAGGGCCGAGAGGGAGAGGAGGAGGAGGCAGGAGGCGGCCGCGGGCTGCCCAAAGCGGGCCCGGCCCTCCACGAGGGCGAGGCGGAGGCGCTGCGGGGGCGGCGGAAGCGGGGCCGGCGGACCGGCGCGAGGCAGGACGAGGGCGCCGGAAAGGAGGCCGGCCCGAGGACGAGGACGGGGAGGACGCCGAGGACGGAGAGCAGAGGAAGGCTGGCCGGCGGGCCGGAGGAGGCAGAAGAGGCAGGCCGGAGGGCCGCTGCCAATGCCAAGGGGACAGTGGCCCCGGGGGGAGGCTGAGGAGGTAGAATTGAAGGAGGATGAGGGCGACTTGCACGGGGGGGCGTAGCAGAGCGAAGGGGGCGAGAGCAAGGGAGGAGGCAGGTGGAGGAGGAGGGTGACTAGCAAGGCGGATGTTTGAGGGTTCAGAGGGCGAAGGCGAGGAGGAGGTGGCGGAAGTGGAAAGGGGGGTCCCGGCCCCAGGTGGCGAGCTCTTCCAAGAAGAGTCGGCCAGTGTTTCACTGCAAAAAGGGTGGCCGGCCTTTGGCCACTTCTATGTCGTGTGCTCCGACTTCCGGGGCTTCGGCATACACAGTTCATATATTTTGAAACACATCACCCAAATACGTGTTGAATGTGTTGTTCGGGTGCTGGCCACAACTTGCACTGAACATGTGCAGCCGCTGTGACAAGAATCTTGGCGCAGCTGTGGTTTGGTCCTCTGTGCGCGCTCAGTTTCCTCACTCTCGGCACATACAGTTGCGCTGTACGAGGATCGTGCGATCCCCGCTTGCCTTCTGCAGTCGAGGGGGACGGCGTTTGGTTGAAGACGAGCGAAGCACACGTGCTGTCCAAGATTTAGTAACTGCGTTGTCTAATTTGTCAGCTGGATAAAGTAATTGGCTACCACCCACTGTGTTTGTGCCCGCACCAAGTATAACTCCACCAACCGATGCCGCGTTCCCACCAGGAACGTCATTGTCCTGTGGACGTGTGTCCCTGCGAACTGGATTGCCAGAGCGGGGTGCCAACTGAACTGATATTTGAACTGCCAGCATAAGCGACATTATTACTAACATGAGTTATTGCGACAGGTTATTATGATTTCGCTCGGCGGTTGGGGAAACAACGTTTGATGGAGCCCCTGCCAATGTGTCTGCCACTTTACGAAGATATGCCAAGCCACTCGAATCATCAGGGTTCTCTGGCACACTTGAGTCTGACTCATGTTCAATTAGATTGCTAACGATACTGCCAACGTCTGCTCCGACTGCAGTGTGTGATACACATGACATGTGGTCATCAATGGATGGGACAGATATCGCGGGGGTGGGGCCCGCAAACAGGAGCGCAGAACACCCCTCCCATCCGCGAGAACGGATTACTGCGTTGACAACTGCTTTGTGCACAATTTCCTTCGCTGTCTCTGCTGTTGCTTCTGCTGGCTGTGGCAGAGGAGGCAAGTGACCAGACAAACGGGGACTTGATGGATACCCCCAGTGGCGGCGGCAGGGTAAATCGTAGCGGCGGGATCGGCAATCGCGCAGGCAATCCAAAAGATTCCAAACTCGAATGCAACTTTGGAGCGCCGTGCCCATCGTCGTCGTCACCCTTTGTCGCAAAATGGGACACCTGTTCGTAGGTGGGCCTGAAATCCTTGAGGGCGGCGCGAAAACGACGAGTGCGGGCGGCAAACTGGATTCCATGGCTGCCGTGCACAACTGCTTGGCGGACGCACGTTTCTATACCACTCTATCGGGGATGCCGTGAGGAGAAGAAGCGCAATGAGAAGCATAAGGCGAGAAAAGAAACGTGAGTGTTTTTTTTCGGCGTTTCGACATTGGGCGGAAGGGGGGGGAGGGGTGGTCTGGCTCTGGACCTCTGCGAAATGCGACTGATTGGAGCCGTGCGGCCTCTGGGGGAGACCCCACCTGCTCGCAACAGGCGCCAAAAACAGCCAAGATCTACTCAACGGGGGGGGGATGGGGTGTGTGCGAGGGCCCGCGCCGATCGGCAAAAAAGGGAATGGGGGGGGAGGAGGAGGAGGAGGAGGAGGAGGAGGAGGAGGAGGAGGAGGAGGAGCAGGAGGAGCGAATGGCCTCGATCGATGATCGTGTCGACCTCTCTTGCGTGAGAGCGGGCCTCGGGGCTGGCCGACACGCGCTCCTCACGACCTCTTATGAGAGCTCGAGGGGCCTCGGGACTCGTCACGGGCGCTCCTCACGGGCCTCGGGGCTGGCCGACGCGCTCCGTCACGCGCTCCTCACGACGGGTCTTGGACTTCCTCCTCCTTGTCCTCCTCCTCCTCCTCCTCCTCCTCCTCCTCCTCCTTCCTCCTCTCCTCCTCCCCACGGAATTCGTTTTAGCCCCCCGCCTCCTTCCGCTGCATTCCTCCTCCGCCTTCGACGTCGCCCCCCCCCCCTGCCACCCCGACCTTCTCCCTCCCGCTTCTTCCTTGCTCCTCCACCCCTCCCTCCCTCCTCGCAATCAGGTCGGCGTCGTGCTTGTCCAGGGTATCCACAGAGTCGATCGCCACGAAGCACCTTGAGGCGGAGCGGACGGAGTTGCCAATTAGACGGCGGGCTGTAGGCCGAACAAAACAATACGCTGAACTGACTCCCAGATTCGACGACTGTGGCCAGATCTCATTCTAAACGAGGGCTCGCGCACCCATCGCAAAGAAACAACACTATTGCCGAACCTTCGTACACAGGCGGAGATAGACCCAGACCTCTGACGTCATGTGATGTGCTCCGACGTGGGGCACCGTCATCCCCAGGACAAGGATTTCGCCGTAGGTACAGGTTGATGGACCCAAGCCCTGAGAACAACTCCCAGACGCAGCAATTGCCGACAATCGCCCGTCGCGATTTTTCATGACCAGCCTACCGCCACTGACAACAAAGCTTTTTCACGCCGGAAGGCCTGGGCAGACGGACGACCGACGACCCATACCCGCGCTGTCGTGTTTCGTTTACAACGTGGACCCCCCGGGGTCTCGACCCCTCCCTCCCCAGGGACATGCCTTTCATCCTGAGAGCTTTTCAGACGGTCTGGGCGCCCATGAAGGGGCCCTGGGACACACAAATAAATGCACACAAATAAAAAGATCCCCCATCTTTTCTCATGTTTTCTGGGTTTTTGTCTCCCCCCCCACTTCCCATAGTTTCCCATCTTTTCGGGGGAATCGACGATTTATGGTGTCTGTGTGCTGCTTTCCCTCCTGAGCCCACCGAGGGAACCCAGAGGCCGAAAGGTGGCAACAAAAAGCTTCCAGTGTGACTATCCCCGCGGAGCGACGGGGCCTCATGATGATGGTGGTGATGATGACGGTGGCGAGGACGAGGAGGAGCAGGAGGAGGAGGAGGAGAAGGAGGAGGAGCAGCAGGAGGAGGAGCAGGAGGAGGAGGAGGAGCAGGAGGAGGAGCAGGAGGAGGAGGAGGAGGAGGAGGAGGAGGACCAATGCAAGCCCCCCAAATGCGTCAACGAGGAGGAGCACCACAGCAGTACGACGAACGCCGTCCTCGCCACGGCGAGCGTGCGGCTGAACAGCCTGGCCAGCGCCACGAGCACCACGACGCCGACGAGCCCGGCGACGGCCCAGAGCCACAGGCGCCGCATGTACCTCCACAGGCCCATCATCCCGAAGAGGCTCCAGTTGCATGTGAGGTTCAGCCCTCCCCGGGCGGCCTGGAGCGCCTGAGGATCGAGGATCGAGGAAAACGAGGAGACCTGCGGCCCTTGAGGGCCTCGGCCGCCTCCAGAGACCTCCATGGACTTCTGGGGACCTCCAGGGGCCCCCGGAGCCCTCTTTGGATCTCCTCCGTTTCCCGAGGATGAGGGAAGGATTGCTGCTGCTGATGGTGATGGTGATCACGGTGGCAATCGTCTTATGCTGGTGGTGAGGATGACGATGAGAAAGATGATCACGATGATGATGATGATGATGATGATGATGATGATGATGATGATGATGATGATGATGATGATGATGATGATGATGATGATGATGATGATGATGATGAGGAGGAGGAGGAGGAGGAGGAGGAGGAGGAGGAGGAGGAGGAGGACAAGGAGGGAGGAATAGCAGGAGGACCAATGCAAACAACCCAAATGCGTCAACGATCTTGCAATACACCCTCCCTCTAAGTTCCGTTCTCATCGACCCCTACAACGATTCATTTTCACTGAAGCAAAAGCCCCGTTGGAAAACAACCGTGTGACAATTTGAAACTGCGGCAGGACACCATTCCTGGGACTTGAAAGCCGTGAATCACCGTGACCGCTGCTTCTTGCCAGTCCTGAGTCGTGCCAGAACACCGTCCCAAGGGATGCAACAGCACGCGTTAATGTAACTGTTGCGCCCTGACAGTCCGACATCGTGCCAATACACTACTACTGGGACGTTGGCCATGCACATCCCCGATTAGGTTGGTAACTTTCACAACGAGTGTGCGCGGCGCTGAAGCGATAACCACATTGAAGAAAGGAGTCGCCCTCCATCCGCAAATCCTCTGCACTTGTTCAACGGATGCGCGCGGCGTTAAGGAAGGAAAACGACCCCCAATCCATGTGTAAAACTCTTACATAATTGTGTGACAAATGTGTTGGGCGCTGATACGAGAGCCACACATTGAAAACCACCTGCCCTCCTTCCGTGACACGCCTGCAGTTTGTTAAAACGGATATGCCCGGCGCTGAGGCAACACACTACGTTCTGAGAACGACCCGTCCTACATCCGTGAAGCTGCTGCAGAGTTTAATATTAAAGCTAACACATGGTGAGGAGGTCTCAAGCGAAACGCCCAGCACGTCCTGTCGACCCGCCTCCGGGTACGACACGGAGGATTCATACAAGAGAAAGGAATGAAGGAGGAGGAGGAGGAGGAGAAGGAGGGGGAGGAGAAGGAGGAGGAAGAGGAACAGGGAGCAGGAGAAGGAAGACGTGGGAGGAGGAGGAGGAGGAGGATCAGTGCAAACCCAAGATGTGTCAACGATCTTGCAGGAGAAAGATGAGGGGGGAGGAGGAGGAGGAGGAGGAGGAGGAGGAGGAGGAGGAGGAGGAGGAGGAGGAGAAGGGAGGAGGACGGCGGACGGGGTGGGACCTCCACGCGGGAATGCAAGCCGGAGCCGAATACGGCGGGGCCGTCGCCCGAGCCTTGAGGGGCCCGAGCCTTGAAGAAGGCCCACAGCGGCCGCCCTGGCCCCGTGCAGGGCGGCCGAGCCAGCGCGCCCCGTCGCAGCTCTGCAGCAGGGGCTACGGGCGGCTGAGCGGCGGCTGGGCTGCCTCGGCCCACCGGGCTCGCCTCCCTCGCAGCCCGCCGCGGGCCCCTGTGGTGGGGGGGGGGTGGGCGGGGTCGCGTTCACCACGCTGCAGGTGCCTCCATGAAGCAACCTCGTGCCTGGGGTGCATCGGCCAGCGGGGGGGGGGAGGGGGGCGCGCCCGCGCCAGCCTCCAGGCCCCTCGAGGATGCTCGCAGGGGTCCCTTCGCCAACGGGGGGCGTGCTGCAACTGAGCCACGCATGGGTGCCTCGGCTACCAGGGGCACGTGCCCGCGCCCGCCCCCCTGGCCACTCGCTCCACGGCCTGCTCGTGAGGGCGCCTCGGCCAACGGGGGGAACGAACCAACGCCCGCCCCACTGAGACTCGAACGGATGCTTGGGCGACCAGGGGAACGTGCCCACACCCATCCATGCAACTGGGTCTGGGTGGGGGATGTATCCTGCCCACCTGGCGAGCGGAGCGCGTTCTCCTGACCATGGGCAGCAGCTGTGGGCGTCCCTCGCCGCGGGCAGCGGCCCTGGCGCCGCGCAAGGAGGCGTCAGGCAGGTTGCCCCTGGCGAGCTGGGCCTCCCTCTCCGCGAACTGAGGAACTCTCGCGTCGCCCAGCCGGTGCTCGTGGAGGAGCTGCACCTGCAGCCCGCGGACTGCTGACCTCGCGCGCGAAGCGCGCGGCTCTCAGTCCTCCTCGGCCGCGAGGCTGGCGAGCTCCTCCCGCGGCCGGGAGCCGCTCTCCAGCTTCCTCAGCTCCTCCGCGTTCCCCGCGGATCGTCCTGTTGCTCGCACTCGGCGTCGCGCTGCTTGTGCATGCGGTCGGTGCTCCTGGCCCTGCTGCTGCCTCCCGCTGTGAGCGGGGGCGCCCGCCGCGTCGCCGAGCCCGCACCCCGTGGAGAACTGCGCCTCCGTGGGGGAGCGGAGAATGACACGAACACAAAAGCTCGGAGGTCCGAGCGGATTGCTCGGAGCCGCGCTGGACCCCCCTGACGGTGCCTCGGGCGCCGCCCCTGGCGCTCTCCGCGCGCCAGGGAGGTCCAGCGCCGATCCGAGAAATCCGCGCGGACCTCCGAGCTCTTATGTTCATGTCATGCTTCGTCCCCCTGCTCAGCGCCGTGGCCGCGGCGCCCGTCCGCGCCGCGGTGATGCTGCTCCCCGCGTTCGCGGTGCTCTGCTCCCCGCCCTCGCGCTGGGGGCGGGCTCCCCGGCGCGCCTGCTGCCAAAACGCCGCGGCGCCGCCTCCCGGCTTTCCACGGCCCGCCTCCTCGGGCTCCAAGGAGGAGGAGGAGGAGGAGGAGGAGGAGGAGGAGGCGACCACCTCTGCCCACACCAATCAGAGAAAGGAGGCCTTCACGGGGTGGGCAAGCGTGTGCCTGGGAGGCAACGCCCGACCGCTGATGCGCAGGCAGCCGGGCGGCGAAACTGAGATGCGCTGATGATGGTGATGAGGATGTGGAGAGCTAGAATGATGATGAGGAAAGGGAGACAGAGGAGCGCACGTCACAAGGCGCACCGCCCATGAAAGACTCGTCCTCTTCAGAATGCCTTGATCGGCATCATCATCATCATGATCATCATCATCAGCAGCAGCATCATGCTCATAATCATTATCAGCATCATCATCAGCATCATCATCGTCATCATCACCATCATAATCATGTTCATGATCATCATCATCAACATCATCATCACCACCATCATCAGTATCGTCATCATCATCAGCATCACCATCATCACCATCATCATCATCAGCAGCAGCATCGTCATAAGCATCCTCATCATCACAATCATCATTACCACCATCATCAGCAGCATCAGCATCAGCATCGTCATCGTCGCCACAATCATCAGCATCATCATCAGTATGGACAGTATCGTCATCATTCTCTTCTTCTTCATCACCATCAGTATCAGCATAGTTATCAGCACCACTACCACCCCCATCACCATCATCATAATCATCATCAGCATCATCACCAAAAGCATGATCATCATCATCATCATCATCATCATCATCAGCATAATCATCATCATGACCATGACCATGACCATGGCCATGACCATCACGTCATTACACGCGTCATCCCATGTCAACGTCGTGATCGCGTGTCGTAGGCTGTCAAACAGTCGCCCGAGGCGTAGTTCTGCTGCGCTCGCTTGCGCTCCGGAAGACGATGCCAGGACGGCCCTGGCCATCATCTCAGCGTCATCACCCCCACCACCACCATCACCCCGATTATCCCCATCATCAGCGCCTGCTTCCCGTACCCACCAAGCCACGACGCGCAATAGTCGAGCACGCTCTCGTGGAAGAGCAGGCGGAGGATGCCCTGCATAGAGAAGCTCAGCAACTTGCTGCCCTGCCAGAACTGCAGCCACACCACGAAGACCAGCGCCGCCCGGTAGAACAGGTCCTGCAGGTCCTCGGAGAGCCGAGGCAGTAGCCCTGTCATACTCTGGCTGGGGAAACCTACAAGATCTTGCATGCTCGTGCCTCGCATGGAGGCTTCTCACCATCACGGAGGTGTTCCCTTTCAGAAGGCGCGTGCGAATGTGCAGTGCTTTATCTATGTGGAGCCGAGGCAAAACCTCGGGGAAACCCAGCTCCCACCGCGTCCTGAAAATAACACGACGAACGGATGTTGGCAATTTGCGGCCCCAGGGCCCTTACCAGGCCCCGTGTCCGCCGGGGGATTCTGTGCGACACGACGCAACTGGCAACGCTGAGCATCAATTCAAGTCTGTGGGGGGGGAGCGAAGAAAGCACGACAAAGCACGGTGAGATTGAATGGCCAAGGAACATGCACGATGAACATGCACTGGCCTGGGCTAGATTGACGGGCGGAAGACGCGCTGGAAGGAGAATACTCCGCCCTGCCCGGGTCCGGATGCGCCGTGAAGAAGGACACGTAGTCGGGCAGCAGGGTCGTGCAGGCCTGGAGCATGGGCCAGCAGGCCCAGTAGGACAGCCAGCGCCTCTGCTGCACGGTCTCGTAGGTGGAATCCGTGTGTCGCGGAGAGCCGCCCCAGCCATTCCGTGGCTGGGCCGGCGCCGCCAGCACCTCGGTGCCAGGCTTCCTCCATGGCCTCATCATCCTCTGCTTTGCTTGGCAGGGTGCTGCGTTGTAGGCTCAGTATGAAACTAGCAGCGGGAACCACTACCAGGCCAAAGCGGAAGAACACGCTAACACAGAGAGGGGAAGAGAATGCGAGAGAGAGAGAGAGACAGAAAGAAAGAGAGAGAGAGAGAGAGAAAGAAAGAAAGAGGCAGAGGGAGGGAGAGAGAGAGAGAGAGAAACAACAAATCATCAGCAAAACCACAGACAAAATAAGACGGTTAGCTCTTTGCTGCTCGAAATGCGTTCAACATGTACGGACCAAACTATCGATATCCGCCCTGTTCGTCTTCGATCGTGCCAAGTGTTGCAGTACATCTTCACTGCCTGCCATGTGTAGTTGAGCGCGACCACAAACAGAGGAAGAGGAAGGCAAGGGATGAGAAAAAGGGAGAGAGCGAGGAAAGGAGAACGCAACGAGAAAGGATCGCACGCCACTGAGGGAGGAGGAGGAGGAGGAAGAGGAGGAGGAGGAGGAGGAGAAGGAGGAGGGGAAATGTCCGACGGTCCAGCAGACCCCCCCCCCCAAGTCGGGGCCCATCGGAGAGAACCTTTTTTTTGGTCCCCGCGGCACGGACTTGCGCGAACCGCACTGTGGGCCAGCGACAGGGCGCCCCCCCCCCCAGGAAAAAAAACTCAGTCATCCGAATCAAGGTCGGGCAGGTCACCAGGTCATCCTGCCCCTTAGGCTGCGCCCCAGGCTTGACGAAGGAGCCCCCGAGCGGCTCCCGAGCCACCGAGCCAGGAGAGAGCCACGGGGGGCAATCGAATGTGGGATGACGATTAAGAACAAAAAGGAGGGGGGAACGATTAAACAAATCGTTTCCCACACCGGGGGGGACCGCTCAGAAGCAGGGCTCGCCTGTGCGGTGATTCGTCACCGGGGGGGGGCGCGCGCCCGAGGACTGCGGGGGAGGGACGATTAAAAAATAGTTTCCCAGCCCGGGGCCGGTTTTTTCTAATCATCATTCCGGGCGCCGCCGCGTGAACACGACCCCCGGTCCTTTTTTACTCATCATCCTCCATCATGTGGGCTCTGTTGGGATGCCAGGCACGAGCGAAGAAACCGCTGTTCTTCTTGCCCGGCCCCGCGAGAGCCGCAGCGGCCCCCGGGCATGTGGGCCCTTGGCCCCTGGCGCCCCGAGGGACCGCGGCATGCCCTCTGCATGCGCGCGGAGCAGAGCAACCGAAGGCGGGACGCCTTCCGAGAGCACGGGGACACTCGACTCGAGGAGGCAACGTCCCCGATCTCTCCAGAGCACCGGCGCGGGGCTCTCCGCGCAAAGAGGCTTCGCGCGCGCCCTCTGGAGGCCGGGGCCGGGGACGGGGGCTCGCCTGGGAGGCGGCGGCAGGGGGCGCAGAAGCAGCAGCAGCAGCAGCCTCCTCCTCCGCCCGAACCTCCTCCGGGTACCTCCCGAGCTCTCACTGCCTTCCAGGGCCATAGCGGCCTTCCTCAGAATTCGCCGGCCCAACGGGCCAGGGCGTGCTAAGATCTCCGGTACCTGGTTAACAGTATTTCTAGTTCGCGCGCGCGGGGCGGCCCGACGGCCCCGGAACGGCCCAGGAGGGCCCCCAAGACGGCCCAAGTGCCGCCCAAGACGGACCAAGAGGCCCCAAGACGGGCCCAAGAGGGGCTCAAGAGGGGAACCGAGAACTGAAAAATCGAGCCCTCCGCCTCAGAAGGCGCCCAGGAGGCCCCAAAAAGGCCCCAAGAGGCCCCCAAGAGGCCCCCAAGAGGCCCCCAAGACGCCCCAAGAGGCCCAAAAGAGGCCCCCAAGAGGCCCCAAAACGGCCCCCAAGAGGCCCCAAAACTCGGCTAGCCCACAACGGTGCGACAATATGGGCCGGCGGAATGAGCGAAGCGATTAAATAAACTACTTCAGCCCTGGGCCATGAGCTGCAGGACCCGGCTGGCCAAACACCGCATTCCTTTTGCCAGCAAGATGTCGGCCTTATCGTAGCGACTGAGAGCTGCGCCTGCCTTGGCCGGCCCGTCCGCCCCTGAAATACCAGCCCGTTCGAATTCCGAAATCCGCCCGTTGCGGGCATCGGCCTGAGCGGGGTGGGCCAGCACCTTCCTGATGGGGACCTGTCCGCACTCTTCTTGCGCAAAGATTTGGCGCCAAAGGTGGTGCGCCCTCACATTGGCCGAGCGGCAAGCAACACGCTTGCCCTGACAGCGCTAGGCCGCGCCACGACAGTCCGCACGCGCAGTAAATTCACTGCCGATGAAGCGGGTGGCTACAAGCATCGCGCAGTCCTCGCCGTCGCGCACCACCTGATCCAGGCACGAGCCCGGTGGGGGGCGACCCAAACCAGGCGGCCACAGGGCGACGCTCGCAGTCAAAGACGGCCACACCTCACCCCTCCGCGAGGAGGGTTGGGAACAGGACATCTGGGCCCGAACCATCGCAGAAAACGCGGCCCCCCTGAAGCATGAGCCGCGCGTCCCTACTCTCGAACCTGATCTGCACTGATGGGCCCCAGGGCTTCGGGGAAGCAGCCGACACCGGTCGGGGGGAGATCGTGAGCGAATCGCTCCTGGAGCTCGACAGGGCAGCGGGCAAGAAGATCAGCCGCCGCTTTGGCCTCAGAGGGAAGGTCGCCCCCGCGTCAAGCCTCCCGCGCAGGGCAATCAAAGTGCCTGCGAAACAGGGTGGCAGGGCTGACGCATAGCATGTGCCGATCTGGAACCTGCGTGTCCTGCCAGCGCGGGCGATGTTGGCACCAGTGGGGCCCTGTGATCAGACCTTTCAGAGATCGTTGCCCCCTGTTTCCCCGAGGGCCCCCAGTGCCGCCAGACTCACTCCCCTCGTCTTCCGCGGCGACCTCGAGGCGCAGAAGCTCCCTCAGCGGCCTCGAGAAGGTGCCCCATCGCCACGCCTGGCTTGGCCAGCCCGCGAGGCACGAGAGGCGCCCGGCAGCGAAGCGAGCCCTGCGGGCCAGGAAGGCAGGAGGAGAAAGCAGAGAAAGAACACCCGCATGTTGGAAACGCCCGGGGGTCATACTCTAGAGGCCTGCGCGGAGGCGCGGAAAAGGGGGCGTTGGGAAAAAACAGAAAAAGGCATTTTGCGCATATGAGGTTTGCCTTCGTAAACACACGTTCAAACAGGATCAAAACTCCTTCTCGCGAGGGCACGGATGCACGCGGGCCGCGTGTATCCGTGCCCTCGCGGTCTGGATTCCGAGGCGCGGTCGCCCGCCCAAATCCGCCCCGCCCAATCCCATCATCACGCTCCGCGCGGGGCACCCGCCCAAATCCGCCCCTGTATCCGCGGGGGCGCGGCGGAGGAGTCCGGACCGCGGCGCCGTGGACACTGGCACGCCTCCCGCCCGCAAGGCAGCTCTCCGCTGGCGACTTCCGTGCGTGGTTCTGGGCCCCCGGCGGCGGAGGCCGCCGAACAAATGCTCCTGGTGACTGGTTCGCTCCATCCCTCGGCACTGACCCGTGGACCTCTCCTGCGGAGTGCTCCGACCAGCACTCCGAGTCATGCCCCAGCCGTGGCGGGGAGGGCCCCCCTGGAGGATCGAACGACCAACACACACACACACGCGCACACACACACGCACACGCACACGCACACGCACACGCACACGCACACGCACACGCACACGCACACGCACACACACACGCACACGCACACACACACACACACACACACACACACACACCCACACGCACACGCACACGCACACGCACACGCACACGCACACGCACACGCACACGCACACGCACACGCACACGCACACGCACACACACACACACATACACACGCACACACACACACACACATCCAAACGCCTCTACCCCAAGCTCCCTAGACGCCCGACGTCCTTGACTGCTCAGCACGTGGCCACAGGACCTTCCCACCACTGCCCGGGAGCAGGCTTCCGTCCCCTCTTGCCTTTGCTGCTGGCCACGCTGCCGGAGCTGGCCTCCTTCGTGTGCCGACACCGGTGACAGACGTCGGCGCTGAAAAAAGGCACGACGCCAGACACCGGGGCCTGACCCCACGACAAGCCAGTCCCGCGAGCGACTATCGGAGGTCTGCGCAGCTGTTCCTGGGTCGGCGCCGGACGCCCTCCCCCTTGGCGGAACGCAAACGGCCCCCAAGTGAAGACCCGCGAAAAGGGCCTGGAGAAGTAAACCCACGCGAGGGGGCTCAGATGTGGACCCCGACAAAACGGACCATGAAATGTCGACCCTCGCGAGACCTAAGCACCCTGAAGTGTAGACCCCGACCCGACGGACCTTGAAGTGTAGACCACGCGCGATGGGCGGGCATGTCTACAATTCAAAGGCGGTTCTCTTTTTCTTCCTGACCCCTTCCCCAAATGAACACCTTCTCCCGCGCGCGAAACGACGGAAGATGGAATGTGGCGGGGAGCGGTGCCTGAGGCGGAGGGCGAGGAACGCGGCGAGGGCCGGGCAACGCTTAATGGGGGGGAGCGGTAACTGGGGGGGAGAACGGTGCCTTCTCTCTTGGGCCCAGGAGGCCTCCTCTTGGGCCCTACAGGGCCCCTGACTGCAGGGGCCCGGAAGGGCCCTCTTTCTGCAGCCCTCGCTGCCCCCCCCCCTCTCGCCCCCCGTGGCGCGACGCCCAGGAGGAACGCGGCGAGGGAGGCGCCTCAGGCGCGGCCGGGGCGTGAGGCGGGGAGGAGAGCGGGGTGCGGCGCCGACCCCGGGAATTCGCGCGGCCCTCCGAACGGTTCTGCTCTTTGGACGCCCGAAATGGGTACCGAAAAAATGGGTACTATGCCCAACAGCAAATGTTGTCCCAAACCAACAGCGGCCGCTGTTGGGGGGGCGGCCTCCTGTCTCGAATGGACACAGGCCGCGGCGGCGCGGACAGCGAGTCCTGTTCAAAATGAACAGGAACTGCTGTTGGGCATTGTACCCATTCCTTCGGTGCCCATGTCGGGCGTCCAGATGCTCGTGCTGCTCATGCTGCTGCTGCTGCTGTGCTGCAATAGGGGCCCGACCACCAGAAGCCCTCCGCAAGAAACCCGGCCCTGAGACCCCAGAGTGTCCGCCGAGTTTTGGCGTGGGAGGGTCGCGTTTTCCACAGCAAAGCCATCGAAAGCCAAGAAACCCAGGGCACCCTGGAGGCAAGCAGGGTGTTTCTTGGCATGGGCCCCCACTGTATGTTGCATCCTCGGGGGCCTTGTCTGTCCCGTCGCGGCCCTATCCGCGTCGAGTCGTCGGTGTCGAACTCATGTCGGGCTCGTCGGATCCGTGTCGGATCCGCGCCAAATGCGCGTCGCGCTCGCATCGAGCCCGCGCAAGGCACAAGACGAGGCACAATTTTTGCTGGGGGGCAGGCGAGGTCCGACGAAGATGCAGCGTAGTGTGTGGCCTTCGATTCCGGCCCCAGCTGAGGCCAGCACCGATAGGCTGAAACCCGTGGGCACCAGGGTGACGGCCGCGCTGAGGCAGGCCGGGAGCCAACCCTTAGGCAGCAGCCCGCTCAGATAGAGCATCACCGGCGCGGCCACCAAGAAAAACGCGTGGAAGAAAACCATCTTCACGTTCTCCTGGGACAGGGATGTGAGGAGGAGGAGGAGGAGGAGGAGGAGGAGGAGGAGGAGGAGGAGGAGGAGGAGGAGGAGGAGGAGTAGGAGGAGGGATGGGGAAAGTTGGAGGGAGGCGTGGGAGGGCGGAGGTGTGATGCGGAGGGAAGGATGGGGATGTGGGGGAAGCGGGGGAGGGGGAGGGGGAGGACTGGGGGATGAGAATTGGGAGGAGGGGAGGAGGGGGCTGGGGGAGGCCAGGGAGGGTGGGTGCGATAGGAGGGTTTTCTCAACCATCCGGTGGTAATGGGTCCTCGTTTTGAATGAACGGTCCCCGCTTTCTCCTCCTCCTCCTCCTCCTCCTCCTCCTCCTCCTCCTCCTCCTCCTCCTCCTCCTCCCTCTTCCGTCTTCCCTGCGTTTCACCCACCCAGTACAGCGCTTCGTGGCCACATGAGGAGCTCCACCCAAGGCCAGTGTGCAACCGCCCGCATGCGTCCCCCACACCCACGTCGTCCCACCCCTCACACGTTTCGTGGCCCTATAAGGAGCTCCACCGAGGGCCCCAGTGCCACCGCCCGCATGCGTCCCCCACACCCATTTCGGCGCACCCCTCACATGTTTCGTGGCCCCATAAGGAACTCCACCGAAGGCCCCAACCCCTCACACGCTTCGTGGCCCTATAGGGAGCTCCACCGAAGATGCCACCGCCCGCATGCGCCACCCAAACCCATTCCGGCACACCCCTCAGGCGTCTCATGGCCCTATAGGAAGCTCCACCCAGGGCCCCAGTGCCACCGCCCGCATACGCCACCCACACCGATTTCGTCACACCCCTCACACGTTTCGTGGCCCCATGGGGGGCTTCAACGAAGGCCCCGGTGCCACCGCCCGCATGCGTCACCCACGCACATTCCAGCACACCCCTTACACGTTTCGTGGCCCCATAGGGAGTTTCAACGAAGGTGCCAGTTGCTGCTTTCGCATGCGCCCACCGCACCAATTTCGGCACACCAATCACACGTTTCGCGGCCCCATAGAGAGCTCCACCGACGGCCCCAATGGCTGCGATCGCATGCGCCCACCGCACCTATTTCGGCACACCTCTCACACGCTTCGTGGCCCCATAGGGAGCTCCACCGAAGGCCTCAGTGGCTGCTTTCGCACGCGCCTACCGGATAAATTATGGCACGCTCCTCACACGCTTCGTGGCCTTATAGGGAACTTCCCCGAATGCTGTGCTACAGCGACGGTGTTCACAACTGCATATGGTTGGGTACTTCGCCAGGCCACTATTTCACTCAAGGGCAGAAGGACCGCCGCTCCACGTCGGCGGTCTTATGGCCCTCGGTCTCTGTAGCTGGAGGCTCGGGGCTTCTGGAGCCTCTGGAATACATGGAAATGCTCGATGTCGTCAAGCGGCGTCCCATCGACGGGATACAATCCTGAAAGCAGCCGCTTGCGAGCAACATACTTCTGACCGCCCTTAAGCGGCCTTTTGCACTCCACCCGAGACTCGTGTGAAAACAAAGGGAGCGTGGTTGCCGCACCGCATGCAAATGATGGGGAGTCCGTCGCCGCAGGTACCAGCAGAGGAGGGCGTGACAGGAATGCACCTTGCTGAGGCGCTCTCGAAACTCGCCCGAAAAAGGCGCGCACGGCTCATTACCGCGACGAAAGACCGACTCGTCAAAATGGCTGAAGGTGAAGGACTCGGCGCACCTCCACGGAACATGCTCAGCTCTCTGTCAGTCATGGACAAACGAGTGCTGGGTCTTAGCGTCATCTGTCGTGCTGACTCTGTTCTCCCTCTGGTGCCTGGGCCACGCCTCCAGCATCCCAGGGATGAGCTTCAGAATGCTAGCGGCGTCCTCCTTCGTTTCCTCGAGAGCTGCCCACGCCGTAGGATCGAACGACGGGTGCATCTAGTGGGCCGGCATAGCAAACTGGTCGCCCTTAATATTGATTTGAAGCGGGGGAGATTATCCTGAACCAGAACAGTGCCCTCGTCTTGATGGGACTTGACCTTCATAGCCGCCTCTAAACTATGTCGGCTGTCGCTGCCCATAGCCGCGCGGAAGGTACCAGCATGCATGATTCTATACATGCAACGAACGGGCAGGCAATGGCTGGTGAAAGCCATCGAATACCGACTTACAGTCCACAAGCGCATTGGACATCATTGTCAGGGCCCGCTGCAACACCAAGCAACCCAGGCACTCGCCCGCCTGAGGCGTCTGCGGAAAAAGGAAAAACCACGGGCCCCGAGACAGCCCACTTCGAGCTCCTCGGCCTCCGAAAACCCGCGGACACCCAGGCGGCCCCGTCCGAACATTTGGAACCTGTCCTCGCGCAGGCCCCGTCAGAGCCCGTAAAGGACTCTACGCTACAATGACATCGTGCATCCACGGTGGAAGCCGCTCCTACCTGTATAATGCCCATTGAGAATGCACTGGCAGGGGGAGGGAAGGGGCCAGGCTCGCAGGAGTGGAGAGGAATGATACCAAGCTGCAGGGCTAGCTTGTTGCCAGCCCCGTGTGATGAAATGACATGAGCAAGCGGCCTGAAGCCAGTCGAGGTGAGCTATCGCTCGGAGCCGGAGGCCTCCGACAGATGCGAGGCCTCTGCAAAATCTCCCTCCGTGGGGCTCTTCGGGCCCCTCCTCGGCCTCCTTCCTCGCGAGGCGGAGGCTGGTCCTCTTCCAGGAGGCCAAAGGCCCTAAGCACCTCAGCTCGGGACGTCATCCCACCAGAAGCGCTCACCCCCCGAAGCCCACCCCCCCCCCGCGTCCTGATCTGAGGCGCTCGGGGCAGAGTTAGCAAGCGCAAGAATGGCGGCCAGCCGCGCTCGGACAGCGCGTGGCACACCCTCGGGAGGGGGTTGAAGCTCAGGTCCTTCAGACCCTCTTTGCCCGACGGGTACTTGCCAGCCTTAACCTGCGCTAGCTGCCGTCTCAGGCCCACAGCCGCACACTCTCGGAGGCACGGCCTGAGAAGAGCCCGAGTTGGCCGTTCAACGCTGAAAAAGGCCCCACAAGCACAACACACATTGATGGCCTTGCCATCTTCGCGACCCGACCGCGCATTAACCGAAGCATGCAGCATCGGGTGGCCGTTGAACAGATAACCTATGTCTCGATAGGCCTCGAAACCCTCCGGTGGCGGCTGCGCCGCGGGGGCGGGCACGGGCGCTGCCGCTGGGGCAGGGGCGGGGGGTGCATCGGGCTCCGCCTCACGCGCCCCCCGCGCCCGTCCTCTGCCAGCCGCGTACAACTCCATGCAGTCATCATGGTCCTGGCAGGCTTCTCCGCCCCCAGCAACGCGTGCAAACGCCCACTCCACCGACGCCCCTCCCGAGCAGCCTCGACCAGGCCACGCCAGAGGTGGTGCTCGCTCTCCTCCACTCCGTGGAGGGCGGCACTACGCTTCGCGAATTCGTCGGCGGCATCATTGCCGCGCTTCTCCCAAAGTGTGGTGCGATCGTTCTCCACAGCAACCATGCTGCAATTGGCCCTAGTCTTGTGGGCCGTGAAGTCATTCGGCTCGAACGCGGCCCAAAACGGAACCCACGTGTGGGCTCGAGGATTCTCCGCTCCCGAGCCCGCGCCAGGGCCCGCCCAAAGCGTCTGCGCCGTGCCTTTACAATCTATGTAGAGGTCGACAGGCGGCATCGCAACTTGGGCCAACATTCGCACAGCAAAGTCTTCTGCTTCCCTCGAGGACTGGAAGGGGGCCTGGTCCTGCGGCACAGCCCCATACCCCGCCGCCAAGACCTGACCAAACCTGTCACAACTGACGACCGACCAGCCTGCCCTGGCTAGCGCCCTAACACTCGGGAAAAGCGCGGACCCGTCCAGGAAGAGGCCTTGGCTCAAGGAGCTCGAGCACAGGGCGGGGATCAGGGAAAACACCCCTGGCCTCGAAACTCCACTGCTTCACCCTCTGGGCCCGCCTTTGCAGGCCGGGGGAAACATAGTCCCGCCGCAGGGCGGCGTGGGCGTCGCACTCAAAACATCGGCGCCGCAACGAGCCGTCAGGATGCCCACGCGCTGCACGCGCCCCTGACGCCGTTAGCCGCCAGATTGTACAAGCGGGCCTGGGACCGCCAAACTCCCGAGACCAGGGCCCTCAAGGCCCGCTGCTGGCGGGGGGCCCAGCTCCGCGAGGCCCCGTGGAGCAAGGGTTCCAGGCAACACCAAAAACATCGGAAGCGTCCAGGGGCAAGAAAAAGCCTCGAGCGAAAGCCTGTCCGACTCGCGCCTCACTCCTTCGTCGGCCAGTCGGCGCACCGCCGCTGGGCTCAACCTGACTAAATTCAACGCGGAGCCCCCGTCAGTCGTCAACGTCGCGGCCGAGGGGGCGCCCCAACCGATGCCCTCCACCATCAGGAAGTAGACGTCTGCAGGCGACGCTGCAGCTACCCAGGGCCGTCTGGAACCCAAACGCCTGACACGGGCCAACTCCATGGTTTTGCTGAGGATCGGAGGATTGCGACTGCCCTCCCAACGCGCCGCGCTCCACTGGCCGACCACCTGCCCCAGAGCGATAACCCAAGGATCGACTCGACGACCGTCCCGATACGGGTGCATCCTGAGCCCAATCGAGGCCCCCCGCGGATATCTGCCGAAGCTCTTGCAAGCGGCAGCTCTCAGCTGGTGCGGCTCCGTTGGCGGGACCCCCGTCACGCGTGCCCCCCGTGACGCAGAAGCCGTCGGGCCCCCTCGCTGGACCCACTTGATGTCCGCGCCCGCTTGCCGCAGGTTGGTCAAGCGCCTCGAAGACCGCGTGGCATTCCTCTAGCGCCCCCTGGTGATGCCTACTCTGCGCAGCGTCCCGAGGTTCGCATCCGCGCCGAGGTTCCGAGCCGCATCAACTTTCCCCGAGGCAGGAAGGGACCGCCGTTGTTCAAGGGCGCCCGCCAGCTCCGAGCCGCTGGCCAGGTACTTGCACTTAGACATGTGCACTGGGAGCGCCAGCTCCCCGAAACAACCGAGAATGTGCTCCACCGCCACAGGCAGCTGGTCCGACACCAACTGGTGAGAGCCGAAGCACTGCAGCGTTACGCCGTCGACTACGTTGCGCACCTGCACTTGGGGCCTGCCGTGGACCGCCGAGGAGAGGGGGCCTATCAACAGGAGCTTCGCTAACGTCGTGGCCGCCGAGCACCCCGCAATGGTAGCCCCTGTAGCCTGCAGGAAATCCGAGACTGCCCCATCATACACTAGAGCCCTGACGCCAGAGTAGATCGTCACCAGACCCCATGAGAAGCTTCAAGTTGAATCCGAACTGGCTTGCCGCAGCAAACTGGTCGGCATGTCGCACGTGCTCATAAAACTTCTTGAGATCGAGCAAGACTGTCGCGCTGTCCGTGCCGATCGCTCTGCAGAACGAGCCTAGCAAGTTGTGGGTCCACCCAGACCTCTCACACCTCGTAGTGGACCCGCTCCCCCAGAAGAACTCCCACTCCCTACACAAGGGTTGTCTGAGCTTACTCCAGAGTTTCATAAACAAACACAGAAGCCCGATGGGCCGAGCCCCTCCATCAGGTTTAGGAACGAACACAATATTGGTAACCAGCTCAACCATCCAGGACGGGCGCTCCTCAAAGGCCTCGAAAATCCTCAGGACCCTGGACTGGTACTCAAGGGGCAGCTGCAAAATCAGCTTGGGGTGGAACTGGTCCCAGCCGAGCCCTGCGCCTTCCGAGTACGACTTCCAGCAGTCCTGAAACGCCTCCAGGGAAATCGGGGGAAGCTGGCTGTCGCCTATGTCCCACGACGCTGGGTCCGTCGCTTCGCGCTCAGGCGGCGCCCACATCGGCAGCCACTCCGCAATGAGCTGGGCGATGGCATCATCCCCGTTCACAAGGAGGCCCGAGGGATCCAGGACGCTGGACGGGGAAGTGTGCCTCTTCTTGGCATCGGCGTGCGCAGCCTTCCCCCCTTTCAACACCGCTTCCTTCGCCCAGGTCCTCCACTTGCGGCCACGGTCGCGCGCATCGGTGCGTTGCAAAAAGGAAACGAAGCTGGCCAACTCTGTCCAAAGCTCGTCATCTGGCTGCGACACGCCCTCGCCGATCTGATCGATCAGGGCACGCAACTGCTGCTCGCACGGGCGTTCCACGCCCACCTGCTGGTGCTGCGGGGCTGGGGGGTCCTCGGCATACATGGTACCTATCATGTCCAGTAATGTGCTGGCCCATCGCGAGGCCGCTCCCCCCACCCCGAGTATAAGATCGTTTCTCAGCGTCACGGCAACGGCCGACTGGCAGTGGAACAGCCTGTGCACGAGCGTAGCACCTGCACACCCGGACAAAACACGGCGGCCCTCAGTGACACATCCTGCTTCAGACGCTCTACTGCTGGCCCAGTAACCTTGACGCAACACAGCCCGCAAGAGGGCCACGTGACCCGCGGACGAAGATTATTTACCCTTGGCGTTCAAAATTATTCTGGCAACGTCCTTGTAACGTCCTGGATGCGACCTGAATGCGACTCAAACTTTTGACTGCTTTGATACCCCCAGTCCTGACACTGGCATCGTGAAGCCAGTGCCCATGAAGTTTGGGTGACACGTCAACGAGAGAGAACTGCTTGCCCTCGTGCGCGCTCAGCACGAACGGCCCTTGCAACTGTCAACCGATCCTGTCCAGCGCCTGCGCGGCGGCCGTGACAGGACCTCAGGCCTGGTTGCACTCGAGCCTCGAGGGCGGCGCCTGATGGAGTTGCCTGCGGGGGCCCGGTGTGGCGAGGGCGCTCACGGCTCACGCACGCACCGCGACGGCACCGCCGGCCTCGGGACGACCGCCCGCTTCTCGGCGGCATGCCTCGTCGGGAGGCGAGAGAGAGAGCAGACGGGCGCCAGCTCCGCGGGCGGCGCGCGCCGCGCTCGACCTGTGGGCGCCACCCCCCCCGCCGTGGCAGGCTGTCCGAGGGGCGCGTCTCGGCTCGCCGGCGCCCTCCCCCTTCTCTCGGCTGCGCGCGGGAGCGGGCCCCGGGGCACTCGCCCTCGCTCGGACGTCCATCCCCTGTGCTTTTGCTCGGTTTCGCGCGTGGTTTTTTCGCCAAGTGGTCGAGGGTGCTCCTCGAAGGTCCTCGCCGAGAAAAAACATATACACACGTCCGAGCGATGCCGAGGCAGGGGCGACCTCTGGTGAGCGGTTTCTTTGGGGGGCCCGCGGGGGGCCCGCAGCCCGCCGCGCGGCCGCTCCGGCTCGGCCTCGAGGGGGGCTGCCTCGGCGGGGCGGCCGGGGCAGGGCAGCGCGGCAGGGCTCCCGCAGCGCCGCTGCCACAGCGCCGCCCCCGGGCGGCTCGGAGCGGTGCGGCGGCCGCCAGCAGCTCCGCAGCGGGCGGGGTGGCTCACCAGCGCCTCCAAGGCGCGGCGGGAACCCCGGTCCTCGAACCTAGATCCTCGAAACCTCGACCCTCGAAACCTCGATCCTCGAAACCTCGAACCGCGTTCCTCGAAACCTCGATCCTCGAACCCTCGAGTCCTCGAAATGCCTGGCTGGCCCCGAGCGCCGCGCTCGTGCTCGTGCCGGCGCTGCGGGCCAGGGGAGGGAGAGAAACAGGGGCGAGGAGGACGGCGAGGGTGAGAGGGGGAAGGCGGAAGAGGAGGAAGGCGGAGGAGGAGGCGGAAGACGAGGAGGAGGAAGAGGAGGACGGCGGAGGAGGGGGCAGTGGAGGAGGAGGAGGAGGAGGAGGAGGAGGAGGAGGATGAGGAGGAGGAGGAGGAGGAGGAGGAGGTAGGGGACGAGGAGGAGGAGGAGGCGTATGAGTTGGGGGAAGAAGGAGGAGAAGGAGGAGGAGGAGGAGGAGGAGGAGGAGGGCAGGAGCATGAGTAGGAGGAGAGGAGGAGGAGGAGGAGGAGGAGGAGGAGGAGGAGGAGGAGGAGGAGGTGGAGGGGGAGGAGCGCGATGGGAGGGCAACGAGCGACAGAGGAGCGCGCTGAAGTTGCCCAAGCACGCCCTGCCAAGGAAGTGAGCGTGCCTTGTGTCTCAGCTGGATGCCGACCACGCTCCGACCGCACGAGGGTGTGAAGGAGGAGGTGGTGCTGGCCACGGGGCCTCGAGGTCCCTCTGTTTGAAAGGTCCACACATCCAGCCTCCTCCAGCGTCGATCGATGCTTCGCAGCATTCGCAAGCGGAAACAACTCGCGCGGGATGTTCTTCGGTATGTGTTTTCCCCACGATGATCCAACAACGATGCGGGGAGCCACAGTGGTCCCTGGAAAGTTGCCAATGGCCCATGGGAGTGGAGGTTCGAAAGGGTCGAACGTCGGAGGCGTGGGGACCCCCTCCCCGAGAACAGCTCTAACGCCCAACGGCCTCAACCCTCCATGGGCAACGTTGCCATGAAGGAAGGCCCGACGTGCTCCTGTTTCTGTTCGCGACGGCCACGATGTCAATGCACGGCCTGTCCAACTGCGCGCGCTCAGAGTCAGCATCCCGGGTCGGTTCCCTCCTGGACGCCGTCCGCAGGAGCCTTTCAAGCTGCGTCCAGCCGTCGCCATCTGCCCCTCACAACCGCGGCCCAAGAATGACAAACACATCAAACTTCCCTCTTTCTCACCCTCATCCCTCCTCCTCCTCCTCCTGCTCCTCCTCCTCCTCCTCCTCTAAGATACGTCCTTGTGCCGCCCGTACATCCGGTACACCTCGACCATCGCGTAGCCCGCGAGGAGAGAGCAGCCAAGCATGAGTTGCTGCTCCCTGGAGAGCTGCTGCAGCACCTGCGCCGAGGAGGAGGAGGAGGAGGAGGAGGAGGAGGCGCAGGAAGCGAGGAGGAAGAGGAGGAGGAGGAGGAGGAGGAGGAGGAGGCGCAGGAGGGGGAGGAGAAGGCGAAGCAGGAGGCGTAGGAGGAGAATCATTGACCGATCTGCCAGGTCTACGAGCGGGCCGCCATCTGAGAGCCCTTCGGGGTCAACGTCGGCGCTGCCGAATGGTGGGCACCCCTCGCCTGGGGACAATCCCAACTCGTAGCCTGTTCTTCGCCTATTGCTGCGGGGTGCTGGCCAGTGAAATCCCGTGTCTGTAAGCCCCTCATCACTCCGAAACCGCAGGAGTGGCATCTCAGAGTGGTGCGGCCCCTCCAGATGGAGATGAGAACTGCGACGTCCTAGAGTGGGTCGGCGACTGTGAGAGGAGGAGGGGGAGGAGGAGGGGGAGGAGGAGGATGAGGAGGAGGAGGAGGAGGAGGACGAGGAGGAGAAGGAGCAGGAGGAGCAGGATGAGCAGGAGGGGGAGGAGGAGGAGAAGGAGATGGAGGAAGAGGAGGAGAAGGAGGAGGAAGATGAGGATGAGGAGGAGGGGGAGGAGGAGGAGGGAGGAGGAGGAGGACTACAGAGAGCTACGACGGCGACGAGGATAGCGAGAAGTAGAGGGATCAGAGAGGTGTACGCAAGAGGGAGAAAGAACGAGGAGGAAGTAGTAAGGAGGAGCAGGAGGCGGAGGAGGAGGAGGAGGAGAAGGAGGAGGAGCGAAGAGGAGGGGCGAGGAGGAGCAGCATCACTGAGGAGTGAGGTGGGGGGGGAATAAAGAGGATAACGATTAGGAGCAGCCTGAGGGAGTAGCGGGAAGGAAAACAGCAAGGAATATGGAAAATGACGCACGAGGCGATTGAGGGAATCCACGCCCGACTAGGAGGATGCCAAAGACGAGGAGAGCAGGAGGAGGATGATGAGCAGGATGGCAAGAATGGCACCTGCACCAACCGCTGCCACACCTGCATCACCCACCAGCACATGTCGGGGAGGCACGGCAGGAAAAAGTTCAGCCAGGCCTTGCTGCCCTCATTCTCCTCCTCCTCGCTGATATGTGCCCAGACCCTGGAACATCGAGAGGGGGATTGATTCTGGATGTGTTTGGGAAGAGTTTGGCGTTTCTGCCGCTTGTCGGGCCTCCAGGGTCCCCGAGGGACCAGGGGAACGTTCGAGGATCGGGGTAGTGGGCGGAAACAGATTCAGCGCGCCTGCTCCTGTTCGACCCTCCTTCTCACCATTCTCCCGAACCTCTCCTTTCCAGCGTCCCCCTCCTCCTTCGCCTCATGCCCACACTTCTGCATGTGTCATAGCGTTCCTCGTGCCACCCATGTCCATCCACATTCCGCGGCTCTGATCTTTCCTGAGCCCAAAAAACTGTGACACCTCTTGGGAGGCAGATGCTTACTTCCGCCGGCTTCCCCCGAGCTTCCGGCGTCAGCAGACGCATCCTCGTTTTACGTCCGCCGCCTTCCCCCGAGGAAGAGACGGCAACTCATTCGGTCCTCGATGGGGAGGTACTCTCTTCAAGGCCTTATTTATCTTCCTTGTCGTGATCCTGCCACTCTGCCTTTTCCTGCTGCCACTCTTTCTCATCCTCGTCCGTTTCCTGAATGTCTGTCCGAGTCTGCGTTCCCCCGCAGCCCCCGGAGCCTCTGGGAGCCACGCCCTGGAAACCGGCAGTAAGCAAGAGCTGTTCGGATGCCCTCCTCCCCCTCCTCTCGGATACACGCAACGAGTGACCTTTGGTGCGTGGTCTTTTTCGGGGCCGCGGGGGGATCCAGACACGAGCGCGCAAAAAGCCACCATCGCATCGCGTTCGGCGAACGGGGGGCCCCAAATGGCCGCACCGCAGGTCGCTCCGGCGAAGGGTCGACGTGTAGCCGATTCTCCTCCGCCAGCCTGCTTGGATGTTCGAGCTGCGTCCGGCCGTTGCCACGAGGAGCCTCCCTGAAGCCCACAAAGCACGAAACAAGTTCAGTTCCTCCTTCTCCTCCTCCTCCACCTCCTCCTCCGCCTTGTTCGTCTCCACCAGCGCGTGGACCAGCTTCTTCGTGGCCACAAGAGCAGTCGCACCGCGGTCTTGCGCCGCCTCCAGGGCCGGGTATCCGGTGATGACGAAGACCTGGTGCCCCGCCAGTCCTAGCTAGACCAAGAGGAGGTACGCAGGATGCAAAGAAACACTTTCCCTACATACACCACACTCATGCCTGGCCAGGGTTATCCTAGGACCTGCCATGGAGCACATGTCACCCTCGCCGAGGCCAAGAGCGTCTATGCAGCATTCTGGGGCCCAGCATGGCTCCGACCAATCATGGTGATGGTATATCAGATATTTCTGCGGAGAGGAATGAGGATGACACGAGGGATGACGAGGGAGAGTGAGTGAGTGAGCGAGTGACGAGGGAAAGGGATTAGGGCAGGAGGAGAGGGAGGGACAGGATTGGGGGAGAAGGGGGACGGATGCGGGGGGGGGTGAAAGGGGAGCAGGAGGTGGAGCAGCGGCAGCAGCAGGAGGGCGCGGATGTAGAGGAGCATGAGCAGCAGCAGGGGTGCAACAGCAGGACGACCTGGCACCCGAACCATCCGAGCCAGGCCAGAGCCACCGCCGAGCAAATCCGCGGCCGTCTGACCAGGATCTTCCGCGCGATCCACAGCACGGTCACGGTGCAACCGATCCACGCCGCGGCGTCCTCGCCAGACTCGCTCCGCCCTCCGCCTTCCTCCACCCTCCTCCGCCCTCCTCCGCCGTCCTCATCCTCCACCGTTTGCTCCTCCTACTCCTCCTCTTCCACCTTCTCCTTCTCCTCCTCCTCCTCCTTCTCCTCCTCCTCCTCCTCCTCTTGCGCAACGTGGTGCCGTTTATCCGCCCGTCCTGCGAATCTTTCTTTTCGCACTCGAAAACCCTTCGCCCGCTCTGACAGGCTCTCTGACCTCGGCGCCTGCAACCCGCCTGGTCCATCTATATTACCGTGCCCGGACTTGGACCCCCAGCAGTAGTTCCTGTTACTCCTTCTGAGCGAACTGCGCGGTGCGGGCAGTGGGCGCCAACCAAAGGGCATCAATCGATTGGCCAATAGCCATACGGCACCAAGCAGATCACTAGCCTTAGGGTGTTAACCATGGGGCATCAGCCGTCAGGAGCAACAACACTTGGGCACCAACAGTCTGGCACCACTCTTAGGCATCAGAGTAGCGTTTAGCCTTCCAAGGCCCTGGGCCGCAAGAGGCCAGACACGCATAAGAACGTCAAAATCCCTTCTCTTCCTGGCTGCCTCCTCCGCCTGCTCCTACTCAAGGAGCCCCTATACTCCTCGCGGAGTCCCTCCCCGTTCTCTTCCCTACCTCCTCCCCCTCCTCATCCCCCCTACTTCACCCAACTCCCCCTGCCTCGTCCTCCTCCTCCTCCTCCTCATCATCATCGTCGTCCTCGTCGTCGTCGTCTTCATCATCCCCCTCTTCTTCCATCCCTCTCCTAATAAGTCGCTGCCCCTGTTGCAGACGCGCCCGTATCCTTGTGCTGGCGTTTTGCTTGAGACTTCCAAGAAATATACGACCTGACGCAAAGCTCCAACAGTTACACAGATGGAGGGACGGACGTATTCAAAATCCGCCGACCCTGTCCGCGTTTGTGGGGAATTCTGGGCCAATCGTTCTGGGGTTGTCCTAAAAGACGATCTTTCAATCGATCGATTTGCGCCTCCATTCCCAGAGTCCCTCTTTGGCTCGCCAAACACATCAACTCGAGGTCGATCGAACAGCTCGCCATCGAGGTCACCATCGAGTCCAGGGGAGACCCCTTCCCTTTGGTCACTCCCCAGCCTGGGGATGGGGAGTCCCAGGAGAGGGTCCCCGCGAGGGGGGTCCCAGGGGGCTCTCGGGAGCGGCCAAGAGGGGGGTGTCCAAGAGGGGGGGGTGCAAATCATGACCGGCGGCATGTGCGCGGCCCAGCGGGAGGGCCAGGGACGTAATGAAATAAGAAGAGGCGCCATGAAATTTGGGGAAATATCATGGCCCCCGCCATGATATCCACCCCCCCCTAGTCATCACCCCCCTCTTTTCCGCCCCCGAGAGGTCCTGGGGGCGGGTCCTGGGGTCGTGATCCCTCCGAGAGGCGGGCCCTGGGGGTGCGGTCCTGCGGATGCTCCGGCCGAGCGTGTCTCCGGGGGGGGGGTCCGGGGGCTCGTGCCCCCCCCCCAGCCCCAGGGGAGGCATCCCCCTGCTGAAAGAGCCTTCCCGTGGAATTCGCTCCCCTTGATTTCTGTGGTCCTCCTCTTCCTCCTGCTCCTCGGCCTCCTCTTCCTCGGTTGCCTCCGTCTATTCCTCATACCGACAGGGCCGGGGGCACCTGCCCCAAGGAGGCCTTCCCAATAGGGCTCTCGCCTTACCGACGCGCGGGTTCTTCCCACGAGCGCGCAGCAAGCACAGGGATGCAGCCCCAGAGGGAGCACAACCGAAGGCCCCAGTGGAAGCGCCCGCATGCAGTTCCACCCGTCACTTCGGCGCACCCCTCACACGCTTCGCGGCCCCGTGGCTTTACCGAAGGCCCCAGTGGCAGCGCCCGCACGCGGCTCCACCCTTTTCATCCCAGCGCACCCCTCACACGCTTCGTGGCCCCACGGGAAGGGAGGTCCACCGAAGGCGCCAGTGGCAGCGCCCGCATGCATTTCCACTGACAACTTCGTCAAGCACACCCTCGCACGCTTCGTGGCCCCATGGGGAGCTCCACCGAAGGCTCCAGCGGCAGCGCCCACGTGTTCCACCCCCCGATTTCGGCGCACCCCTCACGCGTTCCGTGGCCCTAGAGAGAGCTCCACCGAAGGCCCCAGTGGCAGCGCCCGCATGGCGTACGCGCGCCCATGTTGGCACACCCATCACGCGCGCCGTGGCCTCATGTGCAGCTCCACTGAGGACAATACTCACAACAGCGCGTTACTCACTACTTCACGTGGCTGGATCCGTCGCAGGGATAATTTACAAGCTTGAGCAAACTACAGAAAAAACAGACTCTAGCTCGTGCTGAGCATGCTGTTGTCGCTCGGTGCTCCTTCGGGCCAAGGGCGGAGGGCGGATCAGCGAAGATCTTCCACTTCCTCCAGTCGTGTGCCGCGGAGTTCCTAGCTGTGCAGCACACGTGGATGCATGGCGGCCACTCTTGAACAAGGGGCTCCCGCTGAAGACATCCGCACCTTTTCAAAAACCACGGCCTGTCGCTGAACAGTTCCTGACTCTCAAGGCTTCTGTTGCACACGGAGTCCTTCCCAGCAACACATGTCACTGGGGAAACCAAAACCGAAGGTGGTTTATGGGGAGGGGGTTTTCCAGGACATCTCCCGGGGTGCGCTCTGACCAGGATGTCGAGGCAAATTCAGCGGCGGTGACGAACGCGGGCCTCCCAGGAGGCCCCAGAAAGGGGAAAACGGGCGAAGGGTAGAGGGATGGGTACCCTCTCCTCTGAGTCAAGGGCCTCCTGACATGGTTGCTCTGTGGGGGCCCAACCCGGAGTAGCCACTGGTAGAGTCCACCGTTGGACCGCGACGGCGCCCGTGCCCGTGAAAAATGTCTTGACGCCTCGCGCATCCCCACCTGCACATCCGACGTCCGTCGATGCCCAGGCGAATTGCATTCCTCGAGCAAGTGTGGGAACACGCAATAGCTGGCGTTCTTTTTATTCGGCGTTTTGACATTGGGCGGAAAGGGGGGGGGAGGAGGGAGTCTGGCTCCAGACCTCTGCTTAGTTCGACTGTTTGCAAGAGTGTTGCCTCTGGGGGAGACTCCACCCGCCCGAAACAGGCGCCAAAAAAAAGCCAAGATCTACTCTATGGGGGGGGAGGGGGGGGGGGGAGGGGGGGAGGGGGGCCCGCGCCGATCGGCAAAACAATGAATAAAAACAATCACAGACCAAAGAGGGGGGGACACCCGTCAACCAGAATATATGGATCAGCCTGAGCAAGCCCAGGCGTGACACGTACATGCCGTCATGGATATGTCGATCTAGGAGCCTCGTGGCAGTTTACCTGAGACATCGTGAGGCCCTCCTGATGCCATGTTGGAATCTGTTGGGGCTGTACTGGAGCCATCGTAGAGCAACATTTCAAGCAATCGTTCAAAGAAGATGGGGCAATCAATTCGGGTTCCCCCGCTGGGTGCAGAACAATTGCCTATATTGGGCGGTCTTGGGCCGTCTTGTTGCCTTTTTCGGCCCCTCTTGGGGCTCACTTGGGCGATCTTGGAACCGCCTTGAGGCCTCAAATAATCGAACGGGAGAGGAAACTATACCAGTGTATTCCCCTGAGGTTCTGGAAAGGTGTTAGCCTTTCGGAGGGGTCGTTGGAAGGCTCCGTGGCCGCTTAGAACCGCCTCGGGGCCGTCTTGGAGCCTCGTGGAGGCATGTGAGAGGCTGCCTGGTACATCTTGGAAGCCGTAAATTGGCTCTATCTCTTGGGCCATCTTGGACCCTCTCGACGGCCCGCGACCGGGCTCGCCCAGACTCCCAGAGATAGGGGGCAGGGGGGAGACTCCGAAGGGCAAGGAGGACGGACGACCAAACTTCCTAAGCTTAGGTCGGGCATTTCCGCCTACAGGCGGATGTTGGAGAAGCATTAGAAATTAACCAACACAAAGTCAAAACTTGTCAAACACAGTCGAAAAATCGTCCCCAGACTTTTCTCAAATTATTTGTGAATATTCATCCTGTGGAAGGACATGCCCAGCTTAGTCCTAAACCGCACGCGCGTACCCGAAAGCTGGGCGAGGGCTGCCAAAAGAGTGGCTGCCAAAACTGCCCTCCCGGAAGGAAACAAACAACTTCCCGGAACGAGTCGCGGCACGCGATAAGACATGTATAGGATCGGGATAAATCGCTCCAGAGCGTTCCGGAGCGCTCCCAGAGCGTTCCGGAACGCTCTGGAGCGGCCGCGGCGCCCAATACACCCTCCAAACCCGCCGATCTCAGAGATTTCGAGTTATCCCAATCCGATTTTGTCCCGATCTTCGCGTCGTTTGATCGGGTCGGCAAAAAGGGGGGGATAGCAAAGGGGGGGATTGAGAATCAGCTCACGGAGCTGATTTTCCCGGCGCCTCCCGGCGCCGGAGGCGGCCATGTATCGAGGAATGGGCCCCTCGGTGGGGCCGAAACCAGCTGCATGCAGCAAATTTCGTAACCCCCCCTTTCCCAATCCCCCCTTTCGCCCGGCCCGAAACCTCCCCGGAGCAGCCGCGGACTTCGCAGCCCTCGCCGGCTCCCGACGTGCGCCAGCAGGGCCTGGTGGGATCCAGGGGCGCCCTCTGCCCGGCGCCTGGGGCGGGCGGGCAGGGGCACGCCGCCCCGGCCGGACGCCCACTCCCCCGGGGGAGTCCTCCAGCCTCCTCCTCCCCCTCCCCCTCCTCTCCTCTCCTCCTCCTCCTCTTCTCCTCCTCCTCCTTACCTCCCTCCTCCTCCTCCTCCTCCTCCTCCTCCTCCTATACCTCCTCCTCCTCCTCCTTCTCCTCCTTACCTCCTCCTCCTCCTCCTCCTCCTCTCCTCCTCCTCCCTCTTCCTCCTCTCCTCCTCCTCCTCCTCCTCCTCCTCCTCTAAGATAGAGCAGCAGTTCCCTGGGCGGTGTGCACTCTTGGAGGAGGAGGGAGGTCGGGGCGAGGAGGCGCCTGCGGCACCTCTCGAGGAGTCCGTGCATACTTGGTGGCGAGCGCGGCG